TTCCAATCCATGTGCATGGAATATCTTTCCATTTCTTTATGTCATCATTGATTTCTTTCAATAATGTCTTATAGTTTTCATTGTATAGGTCTTTCACCTCCTTGGTTAAATTTTAGATATTTGATTCTTTTTGTTGTGATTGTAAATGGGATTGTATTCTTGAGTTCTCTTTCTGTTAGTTCATTATTAGAGTATAGAAATGCAACTGATTTTTGTAAGTTGATTTTGTATCCTGCAACTTTGCTGTAGTTGTTGATATTTCTAACAGTTTTCCAATGGATTATTTAGGGTTTTCTATGTATAAAATCATGTCACCTGCAAACAGCGAGAGTTTCACTTCTTTGCTGCCTGTTTGGATTCCTTTTATTCACTTTCCTTGCCTAATTGCTCTGGCCAAAACCTCCAGTACTATGTTGAATAAGAGTGGTGAGAGTGGGCACCCTTGTCTTGTTCCACTTCTCAGAGAGATGGCTTTCAGTTTTTCCCTGTTGAGTGTGATGTTGGTTGTGGGTTTTTCATATATGTCCTTTATTATGTTGAGGTACTTTCCTTCTATTCCCATTTTGTTGAGAGTTTTTATCATAAATGGATGTTGTATGTTGTCAAATGCCTTCTCTGCATCTATTTAGATGATCATGTGGTTTTTATTCCTCGTTCTGTTAATGTAGTGTGTCACACTGATTGTTTTGTGGATGTTAAACCATCCCTGTGTCCCTGATTTAAATCCCACTTGATCATGGTGTATGATCTTTTTAATGTGTTGCTGTATTCAGTTTGCCAATATTTTGTTGAGGATTTTTGCATCTATGTTCATCGGCGGTGTTGGCCTGTCATTTTCCTTCTTTGTATTGTCCTTATCTGGCTTTAGGATCAGTGTAATGTTAGCCTCATAGAATGTGTTGGGAATTGTTCCATCTTCCTCTATTTTTTGGAATAGTTTGAGAAGGATAAGTCTTAAATCTTCTTTGAATGTTTGGTAAAATTCACCAGAGAAGCCATCTAGTCCTGGACTTGTATTTTTTGGGAAGTTTTTGATTACTGTTTCAATCTCTTTACTTGTGATTGGTCTATTCGGATTCTCTATTTCTTCTTGCCTCAGTTTTGGAGGTTGTATGAGTCTAAGAATTTATCCATTTCTTCTAGATTGTCCAATTTGTTGGCATATAGTTTTTCATAGTATTCTCTTATAATCCTTTGTATTTCTGTGGTATCCATTGTAACTTCTCCTCTTTCATTTCTAATTTTATTTATTTGAGCCTTCTCTCTTTTTTTCTTAGTGAGTCTGGCTAAGGTTTTGTCAATTTTGTTTATCTTGTCAAAGAACCAGCTCTTTGTTTCACTTATCGTTTCTACTGTTTTTTTTTTTTTTTGGTTTCAATTTCATTTATTTCTGCTCTAATTTTTATTATTTACCTCCTTCTGCTGACTTTGGGTTTGTTTGTTCTTCTTTTTCTAATTCTGTTAGGTGTAGTTTAAGATTTTTTGGGGGGATTTTTCTTGTTTGTTAAGGTGGGCCTGTATTGCTATGAGTTTACCTCTCAGGACCACTTTTGCTGCATTCCATATGAGTTGGGATGGTATATTTTCATTTTCATTTGTCTCCAGATATGTTTTTATTTCTCCTTTAATTTATTCAATTATCCATTGGTTGCTCAGTAGCACGTTGTTTAGTATCCAGATCTTTGTCACTTTCCCAGTTTTTTTCTTGTAGTTGATTTCTAGTTTCATAGCGTTATGGTAGGAAAAGATGCTTGTTATGATTTCAATCTTCTTAAATTTATAGAGGCTTGCTTTGTTTCCCAATGTATGGTGTATTCTTGAGGATGTTCCATGGGCGTTTGAGAAGAATGTCTAATCTGCTGTGTGTGGATGGAGTGCTCTATATATATCTATTAAGTCCATCTCTTCTAGTTTTTCATTTAAGTCCACTATTTCCTTATTGACTTTCTGTCTGGATAGTCTATCCATTGATGTAACTGGGATATTAAGATCCCCTACTACTATTGTGTTGTTGTTAATATCTCCTTTTAGGTTTGTTAATAGTTGCTTTATGTACTTGGGTGCTCCTCTGTTGGGTGCATATATATTTATAAGTGATATGTCTTCTTGGTGGAGTGTCCCTTTTATCATTATATAATGCCCCTCTTTGTCTCTCATTACCTGTTTCATCTTGAAGTCTTCTTTGTCTGATATAGGTATGGCAACACCTGTTTTCTTTTGTTTGCCATTAGCTTGGAGTATTGTCTTCCATCCTTTCACTCTGAGCTTGTGTTTGTCTTTAGAGCTGAGATGTATTTTCTGGAGGCAGCATATTGTTGGGTCTTGTTTTTTAATCCATCCCACCACTCTGTGTCTTTTGATTGGAGAATTCAATCCATTTACATTTAGAGTGATTATTGATATATGAGGGCTAAATGTTGCTATTTTATCCTTCGTTTTCAGGTTCTTCTGCATTTCCTTTGTTTCTCATCTTGTATGTTTTGGACTACCAATTCAGTTTGGTAGTTCCGAATGATGGTTTTCTTAGTTTTCTCTTTATGTACCATATGTGTCTTTGTTCTGATTATTTGTTTAGTGGTTACCATCAGGTTTGTGTAAAAAATCTCATAGATAAGATAGTCCATTTTCTGATGGCCTCTTATTTCCTTAGACTAAGTCAATTCCATCCCTTTCCTCTTCCCCTTCTAAGTTATTGTTGTCACAACTTATTCCATCTTGTGTTGTGAGTTTGTGGTTAAAGTGATGAGGTTATATTTATTTTTGGTGTTTTTCCTTCCCTTTATCTTTAATGTTATAATTAAGTGTTTGCTAATGTATTCTGATAGAGAGCTGCAATTTTTCTGATTTTGTCTACCTATTTTTCTCCTTGCTCAAGGCTTTGTATCCCCTTTCTCGCTTTTTTTTAAAGGCATGAGGGCCTTCTTGAGCATTTCTTGTAGTGGGGGTCTTGTGGTAATGAACTCCCTTAGCTTTTGTTTATCTGGGAAAGTTATTATTTCTCCATCATATCTGAAGGATATTTTCACTGGATAGAGTATTCTTGGCTGAAAGTTTTTGTCTTTCAGAATTTTGAATATATCATTCCACTCTCTCCTAGCCTGTAAGGTTTCTGCTGAGAAATCCACTGAGAGCCTGATAGGAATTCCTTTGTATGTTACTTATTTTTGTCTTGCTCCCCTTAATATTTTTTCTTTGTCATTGACTTTTGCCAGCTTTACTACTGTATGCCTTGGAGAGGGTCTTTTTATGTGGATATAGTTAGGAGCTCTGTTGACTTCATTCACTTGTATTTCCAGCTCCTTCCTCAGGTTTGGGAAATTCTAAGCTATTATTTCTTTGAACAAACTCTCTGCTCCTTTTTCCCTCCCTTCTCCCTCTGGAATACCTATAATCCTTATGTTGCATTTCCTAATTGAGTTGGATATTTCTCGGAGAATTTCTTCATTTCCGTTTAGTCTTAGTTCTCTTTCCTCCTCCATATGGAGCATTTCTGCATTCCTATCCTCTATATTGCTAATTTTTTCCTCCATATTGTCAGTTCTGTTCTTTAAAGATTCCAGATTTTCCTTTATCTCTTCCATTGTGTTTTTCATCTCCAACATTTCTGATTGCTTTTTCTTTATAGTTTCAATCTCTTTCGTGAAGAAGTTCCTGATTTCATTGAATTGTCTATCTGTATTTTCTTGTAACTCATTGAGATTTTTTATGATAGCTATTTTGAATTCTCTGTCATTTAGATTATACATTTCTGTGCCTTCAGGATTGATTTCTGAGTGCTTGTCATTTTCCTTCTGATCTGGAGATTTAATATATTTTTGCATACTGTTTGATGGCATGGATTTGTTTTTCCTCATACTGACAATATCTGTTTGCAGCTTCCACCTGCTGCCACTGGTGGGAGTCAAGAGCTGTGTATTCTGAGCCCACCACAATCTGGGCACTCTGGCCAACTGGCTGAAGTGCTGGGTGAGGGGAGGGGCTCCTTCTTTCACCTGCCCAATCCCAGGGGCTTCTCGCTCTTCCCTCACTATCTGCTCTCTGGGGTGCTAGCTTGATGAAGATATCCCCACAACAGTTCAGTCCTCTCTGTGTGGGAGTTTCCCATGAGCTGTGAGGGAACTTGGAGAGCAATGGTTTTCCAGTGGAGGGCTGCCCCTCTGAAAACATGGGAATGGATTAGATATTCTTACAGCATCCAGTATTTTTAAAAAATGTAAGAGAAGTATTTCGAAAAATGAACTGTAGTTTCACATTACAATACACAACATTTGGAGTCTCTGTTTTCTCTGAGGTCTTTTTCCTTCAGTGGAGACCCTGATGCTGTATGTGTGCCATGTGACTTGCTTCCCTAGCCATCAATGAGTGGAGGTTGTAGATTCTTTAACCAAACAGGGTCAGGGAAAATTGGAATTGGGATTCAAAAGTATTATACATTGCTTCTTGAGCTATAAAGACATGTAAACATGGGAGATGAGGCTAATGTTTTGATTCAGCCATCTTCTGTCATGAGTACAGAAAAAGCCATCTACAAGATGGAAAGAAGAGGGAAGTAGAATTTAGAGAGGAGCAGAGAAGGGCTAATATGTGGCTGCAGGAGACAGAAGGAGACTTGGGTCTTGGTGTCAATATAGTTCTTGGTTTCAGTCTCTTTGGTACCCAGTTGCTTTTCTTGCCCTAAGATTATTTTAGATACTCCTACATCCTTGCAATAAACCCCTCTGCCTGGCTTAAGCTATTTTGAGTGGATTTCTGCCCTTGCTGGTCTGAAATGTTACAGTGCACATGAACTATAAAGCAGTCTTCAGAGCTGTTGGATGGTCTTGGAACCATTCCCAGAGCTGTGGTTAGTAATATCCAACGCACCTGAAGGAGTTCTTTAATAAGGGAAAGATCCTAAATATAGGCTAACAGTTGGGTCTAATGAACTTTGACAATTGCCACCACCACATTGCACTTTTTATCCTGTGCATTCCAAATAGAAATCATATGGAATAACTGAATTCAATGCTAAGTGGTTTATTGAAAGTTAAAGAAGTCAGAGATAACTAGCATAAAACATTTCAGAATGACATGATAAAAACCATGAGAACCCATATTTTTCTGCATAGAATATTCTGCTGACTAAACCCACAGTGACTTTTTTTTTCAGTTCTCCAGTGCTTCTCCACAGAAGGAAATGTTCAGAATCCAGAGTATATTAGCAATGAAGCACTTTTGTGAGTAAGAAAACAGGCTTGCCCCTGGTAAAAAGAAAAGAAGAAACCAATGTCAATGTCTTAAGAATTCTTTTTTTGGGGGTGTCACACAGTTTCCAAACTAGCTATGCACTAAGTTCAAGATTGATCTATCTATCTATCTATCTATCTATCTATCTATCTGAGATTAAATCAATCAATTCAGAGATCGGGAAAGTTGCTGTTAGGTTAGGTTCCTAGGCGAATACTTTGTTTTTGTGTAAGTTATTCTTTGAATGCTCAGAAATTAAGTGATTGAGCTACGAAAATCAATAGATTCTATTGGCGATCTCCTTTCGTTCAGCCATTCATGCATTCCTTTGAGTATGTCTTGCATTTGCTCCAGATCCACTCTTGAAAGGCAGTATTTCAGAATGGTTGAGAGGGCAGAATCCAGAGGCAAATGCTTGGGATTGACCCAGGCAAGGGATTTTTGACCTCTCTCTGTGCCTCAGTTTTCTCATCCAGAAAGTGAGAATAATAATAGAATCTATCACATAAGATTGCTGTCAGGAGCAAATGATTTAACACACTAAAAGCACATAGAATAGCACCCGGCACAGAGCAAGCACTACACAAACATTAGCCTTGATTGCCATCTCCTGAGTAATTGGTATCCTCTGTGGACATGCTTGAGCATAGTCTCACAATTTCACCAGCACTAACTTGGAGTGCACATTATGACGATTACTCACCTTGAACCTCTTCAGCCACGTATGTTGGAACCCCACTGCACATGTTAGAGATGGAGTCTCCAAACTGGCTCAGGTCACTGACTTTGTCAGGGTTGATTGAGTATATCAGGCCCCTGGGAGCAGGTCCCCCTGGTCCTTTGCCCTGAAGCTGAGTGTGGAGAAGACAGGTGGAAAGGAAGAGAAAGAATGAATGCCAAGCCCAGTGGTTTGTTGAATTGAGGGTTAGGTACAAGGCCGATAGGGTGTATTGCTTGGCTATAATTTTTCCATAATCAAAATGAACAGCCAATTCTAACCCTGTATATCTCAGAATTTCTGAGTGTCCTAAGGGATTTAGCTGGTTTGAAACCTCAGCTTCTCATAAAAGCAGAAGTCTGAGGCTAAGTTTATTCTGAAGCTTAGACCTCATTTGGTCATCTTATATTTCTTGGATTGAGCTATATGATAATCAGCTTCTGAGAATGAAGTTTATTTATTTTCTCTACCTTGTCAATGAAAGGTATCCATTTATTGGTTTTAAGAATATGAACTCAGGCAAACATTTTAAGGAATGATGGATCCCCTCTCTTCACCTACCCCAACTAAGGTTGTGAGATAAAATACAGGAGACTTAGTTAAATTTGAATCTCAGATAAACAACAAATCATTTTTTAGTATAAGTATGTCCCAAATATTCCATAGGCCATACTTATACTAAAAAAAAATCCATTGTTTATCTGAAATTCAAACTTAACTGGGTATCCTCTACTTTTATTTGCTAAGTCTAATAACCTTAACCCAAATCTTGAAAAAATAAAAAAGCCCTTGAAGTGCGGAGGGCTCCCATTGGCATGAGCAGAGCTTTGTTCTTCTAATGGTAAAGATTATCAGGTGTTCTGCTCAGCCTCTGTAGAGGCAGGTGTGAGCCACAGCATATGGGTGTGACGGCAGCTGCCTCTTCTCAGGCAATTAGCAATTCCTCTTTCCCTTTTGTGCTGCACACTACAACATACTGCGGTTAAGAGGGAACAACTGTGACCTTCTCATTATTTACTGGAGATCATAAGACCTTCCCTGAGCAAAAATAAAAAAGACTTTTATGTTTACCTTCTTTTCCTTGATCAGCGCATCGAGGTCTTGAAGAGAAGGCATGACATCGTTGTTCATTTTGTGCACAAAGCATGCCTGCTTGTCAAACAGCCTGGTTGCAGCAAAGCTCTGGTAAAGAAGATGGTAGATAGTAGGGAGTATGTTCTCCAAAGAGCTTTTCTCATCAGAAATCAGTTTCACCAGCAGAGGGGAATGGAACTCCCAGATCAAGATGAACTGGAATAAGAGCACAGGGTCTGGCCCTGTTTTGCAATTGCATCTATTGCCAACCTTTGTGAGGACAGACTACCAAGTCCTTGAAGGCAGAGAATATCTAACTTGTTGCTTTATCTTCAGGTCCTAGCACGGTAAGAGTCACTCTATATTTGTCTGTTTTGCTGAAATAAACCTTGAATTGCTATCACGTTTTAATCTCCTTTAATCTTCACAACATTTCAAGGAGGCAGATAAAACAGGAATTAATTTTCTAAGTGGTCAGACGATAAAATTGAAACAATAAAGAGTTGGCTTTTTGAGAGTATAAAGTTTGTTAAATACAGAGTCGGATCTCCTAACCAGAGCTAAGTGATTTTTTGCTTCCCTTACCAGTTAATATTGTCATTTACATTTCCTTTGGTCCTTTGGTGTTACAGTGAAATGTCAATTTCTGTCTTTTTAGAAGGAAATTGAAGATAGAATGAGATAGGCTATATTTTTGGCAACAGTAGTATTGTGTAGGTCTTTCATCATTATTGAGGGTGTCTGCAGCAAGGGAAAAGGATGTTCATATCTGTCTAATAACCCCACGATCTCTTGAACATAGTGGATCCTAATTACTGTTCCTTGGTTTGAATTTTAACTGACTGTGGGAAACATTATCAGCTGTTATATCTAGGGAGCGAAACTGGGTGAGCACTTTTACTTATAACTATGCTTATATGCAATTGGAATTTATTTTGTTTTTAATTTTTTAAGGCAAACTTATTTTGTTGCTAAAAAAGAAACATCATATTTGTAAAGAAGGGAAATTGCGTGTTGACTACCTACATTTTGGTAATCCCAGACAGAATTCCAGGAGTTCCATCCATTGTTGTTGTCAACATTGGCCACGTTATGTTCATTGTTGATACTCACTGACTGCTGCCCACTTCCATTACTGTTGCCGTCATCATTGACGTTGATATTCTGAAATTTATAAGAAATTGACAATGATTTAATACCACATTTCTTTGCAAATGCATTTTGGTAATACACTTTAAAAAGTGAGACTTACATAGGTAAGGGCAGGAGTCAGGAAGACGCCAAGAAGTCCAGCAAAGACAATCTGCAATCACAAATAATATTGGCCTACAGTCACATGGCAAAATGATGTCCTCTTCTTTCTCTTTCTATCCAAGCGTATGAAAAATATTTACTAATTTTACCATTCAGTTGAGTGGTCTGTATTTTCTTCTTTGACCTTGTATTTTTTTAACCATAGAAAGCTTTAATGATAATGTAGACTTGTAGGTTAATTGCTTACAGTAATTATATTATTGTGATATTGTTTTAGAATTTTTTAATGTGAGTGTCAGTATATTGAAAAATAAATCTTAAAATGAATAGCATACATGATGTGAAAATGGTTATAAGTCCTGAGAATCACATCTGAAAATAATTTAAATTAATTTTCATATTTGATCTGCAACGCTTTCTTCTCTTCCTAGAACTCCTAATAGCAGAAGTACTCTTTTTACCTAAAAAATTTTTTAAAGCAATGGATTAATAATAGGTTTGATGCTGATGATGAGAGACCAAGGATGTAGTGTCTGGCTGTCAAGTGTGGTTAGCAGAAGGGAAGTCAATAACTGGCCCAGGATACTTGGTTTAGTCATTTGTTATTGGGTACATGATATAGGTTATCAGAACACAGAGCTTTATGCGGGGTGCCTGATTTTGAGTACCTATTTTCATTTCCTTTGCCTGGAACAAGATGGTTTGAGAACTGCACTGATGATTCAAGGTAATTTTTTATTCGTTTAATTTTTCCCCTGATAACTTAAGAAGGTGGTAAAAATTAGCCTTCTAAAAAGTCAGAGGTGGAAGAAATTTTAGAGATCTAGTCATATAATGCAATCCTTTCACGAATAAGGAAATTGAGCTTCAGAGGTTAAATACCTTGGCTAAGGTTGTATCTTTTATTCACAGTAGAACTAGGAGAGAAACCAGATCTGACCCATGTCTGGAGTTTCTTTCTTTCTTTTTTTAACTTTGCTGTTGTTAGAACTTATTTTTAGATAACTATTTTATACTTGCAACTCCATTATGAAGCAGAGTCTGCTATAATACATTTTAGTGTTTATTATGTTGAAAAATGAAAATATTCGTCTGACTCTAGCTCCTTTGCATCCTGTTATAAGAGACACATGGTACCACCAGTTACTCTGGGAAAATTTTATCGTCCACCTGCTACACTCTCAGCGTTTTATCTGGAACCACAGGTAAGACGCTGCACTAGCTTCATGCTTAGATGTTTTCATGAATAAATGATCTTGGACAGTGGCCAAGGCAAAACTTTCTTACTTGGAGATCCATTTCACAGCAGGGAATGTGACAGTAAGTCTTTCACCCATTTGTTTTGATAATAAGATTTTTATCTTGATTGAATATATTCAGAAATTTTGGTCAAAAAAAGAATTCAAGAATGTGGTGAAAGATCAGGCATTTTCTAGGGCTTAGGGACTGCTTGCTCTGCGCTCAGACCTGAATTAGGAGATCTGAAAAGTAATTTCATTAAAGATAGCATGGTGTCAGATGCTCAGAGAGCTGTCTAACCCCAGTATAACTATATTTTTCTATAGACACGCATATAAACACCACAATTCCATGAAAAGAACTTTTTTAAACAAAATTTTCCATTATAGTTAGATTGTCATAAGAAGCAGACGCCCTTAGCTCAGAAGGTTAACAGTCTCCAAATATAAGGTCATAAATTCAAAACGAAAGGTCTACTCACTGTGAACTTCATCTTGGCTTCACCAAAGCGATGGAGCAGAGGAGAAGGCAGGTATGGACTCAGATGAGAAACCTTCTCATATTTGTACTTGACAGGATTTACTCAAACTAGGCGTGACCAGGTGGGCATCAAAGACTTATCTTTCTCCCTTTTCCCATATCTGTGCCATGATCCAGCATACCAGGAAGCCTTTCGGATTATCTACCTTGTTAGCAAGGCAGCAGCTTGACATGGAGTAGATCTGACTCATCATTTGTTGAAGTTGAAGATATCACAGCAAACGCAATATGATTTGTGATAGCTTCTGGTCTAATTGAAGCTGTGGGTGTGGGTGTTTTATATACTGATCTATATAGTATATATATAGTATATATATCAGTATATGAAGAATAATCCCTAAAATCAAACAAGACCACAGAAGAGAAACTGTGGGTACACTGGGCCTTGCAGATAGCAGCTCCTGTGAGAATGTAGGAATGGTTTCCTCATCTTACCTTTACCTGAGCCCATTATAATGGTTTTGCTTAGGCTAAACATGTTCTATGAGCTACTCCCACCAAACCTATACCCTTTTCTGCAATCCTGAGCTGTCTCAATAATAGTACCCTACATCTGGTTCGAAAAGCTGGGGCTGTCTTCAACCCTTTCTTCTTACCACCGCATCCAGTTAGTTGCTAAACCTTGTCATTTCAGCTCAGAATTGCCTCTCACTCTGGCCTTGCCCATGGCTTCTTTCACCTGGACTTTTACAACAATTGTTTAATTGATCACTCTAGTTACCAGTGACTCATACTCCATTTTCCCTAGGGTTGTCTTTCTAAGTACATATATATAATAAACATGACTCTACTGTGCTTAGAAACTTTCACTGGCAGCCTACAAGATAAACTTTAAACTCACTGGAATGGCATAGAGGGTCCTTTATAATAAGGTTTCCAAAGCATCCCCAACTGTTTCTGTCTATGCCATATACCTATATTCCAGCTACACCAGAGTTCCCACTGTTCCTGGAATGTTCCGGATGTTTCATGTCTCTACACCTTTGCACATGCTGTTCTCTCACCCTGCAGTGCCAACCTCTTGCCTTTCTCTGATTGGCAAACTGCTATTCATTTTTCAAGGCTCAGCTCAAATACCACTGTCTCCATCATGTCTTCCCCATATCCTAGGGGGAACTTCCCTTTTTCCCTGGAGCTATAAAAGAAATCTCTGTCCTTTTATTTGCTTCTAGATAATTTAATTTTTAGAAATTATGTTAAAACAATAAAAAAAGTTTTCATCAACAGCAGAGAGTAGATACTGTCACTTGGGCAAACAAGTAAAAATGCTCAAAACAATCTTGGAGGTGAATTAAAGTTTTAATTTTTTTGTCTCACTCTCTCCTACAAGCTGAAGCTAGTAAACCAAGTTGCTGAAGAGGAAAACTGTATTTCATTAATCACTAATGTATAAATTCCCCTTTGGAAACCTTCCCAAGCCCATGATTGTCCTTTTATGGGTGGATTGGAATCACAGGATGGGGTTACATGTTTGTTTTAAAAAGTGTTGAAGTTTGATTCACTATCAACATCTCTTCCACAATGTTGGTGTGGATGGATCAATATAGCTGTGATAAGATTCTGTTTATGTTTTTAATGTGTTCGCTAATTTCTTTCAAACTTACTCTTTTATTTATTTTTTTGCGTGTGTGTTTTGAATACATTTTTATTTTATTTTATTACTCTTTAGCTGCAAAAGATCAATAAGACTGGAGTGGGCAACAGACATGGATGAAGAGGTCTTCGACTGCTTTAGGAACTGTCACATCACTGCGAAAAGAGTGGACAGCATGATGCCTTTAGACTCACTGTGAGTAGTCACTTTGGTACACGGGTGCAGTGCCTAGCACACTTTTTACATGGCATACCCTACCAAGGACTTGAGGTTGACATTTTTTCCAATGGGTCCGTGAAATGCTGGTCTGGAAGATACTCCATAACAAATAAATAGAGATAGGTAGATAGGTAGATAGATAGATAGATAGATAGATAGATAGATAGATAGATAGAGATAGACAGAGTTCAGGGTCCGATAACCCCCCTCTTAGAGATTGACAATTCACATTCACATATCAAATGTACTAAGAAATCTGTAGGGGAGAAATCTGTGTCACATTGTTCCATCTAGATTCTACTAAACTTAATTGACCATTGAACTCAGTTGTTTTTCTTTTTTCTTTTGTTGATTTATTTTTCCTAACACCTATTAACATCCCGGGGGGGCACCTTCCTTAGAGAAAGAACAATCGTGCTGCCTCTGGGGATGCACCCTGGATTTGAAAAAATTTCTCCTCTGTACAGTATTGTTATTTCAATGGCTTCAAAAATCAGAAGAAACTCTCCCTCTGTACCTCACGTGGTATGTATGAATGTGTGTGTACGTGTGTGGGGGGGTCAACCCTAACCTCAACCCTGGTCTCATCCAAGGCCAAAAGTCCTAGAGAAGCCTGATAAAGTCTCCTCTCCCTCCTACCCTAAGACCTATGTTTTATATGTTTATTGTCCTCCCATGGGAGAAGGACAGAACATGTCAATGTTTTTTTGTCACCTCCGTAGAACATACTGGCACGTATAGCATGCTCAATAGGCCCATTTTAAAAATTAGAATTGCATAAAGGAGAGGCTCAAGCCAGAGGATCTAAATCTAATCTTATATTTGATTAGAGGATCTAATCTTATATTTGATTAGAGGATCTAATCAAATATAAATATGCATTATATTTATTCATTTATGATTTTTGGAGCCAGCTGGAGAGGTGCCGCCCTACATTGGCTATGGTGACACACCAAGGAAGCCCCAGGAGATGGTGTGGCCCCAGTACCCTAGGATTAGTGTGGGGCAGACTAGCCCATGAGTAAATAGGGCCTGCCCTGCCCACAGAGCTAGGTGCTGGGCCATGCCAAGAACCAAGCCCTATCACCATTTTATATCACAGTGCACACAAGCCCTCACTTCACCCCACACCCTGTCGTGTGGAGCCTGGAGGGAGCTCCCTCTCTGCGGAGCAAACAGGGGATGAAGTCCACATCCAATGTGCTCATACCATAGATCTGGAGGTCCTTTCAGAGCTTTTCCACAGAAATCCGACTTTTATTCTCTTTCTTTTTTATCTGAGTGGAGTGTTTACTTACGGGGCACTTTTTCATCATCAAATACCCTCATTCAAGATTCCCTTTCGTGTATAGACATGTCAATGGGCTGACCTCCAGTCATTAACATCTACAAAGCCCTTAGTAATCTTGTCTGTCCACCTTCCCTTTAATTCTTGCCCCATTTTCTGATATTTAGGACTCAGCTGGCCTTCAGCCTGTTTGACCTCACACTACAATTTATTTGCTTGAGTGTGGAAGCCCCTTCATGCAGAGATTCTGTCTCAGTCTCTTTGCCTTTATTGTTGTTTTTCTGAGCATGGTATGCACCAGTTTGACATTCCTTGTGACAGTCTCAAGTCAGGTGGTCCTTTGTGAGGTCTGAACACACTTCGTCACCCTGTGGGGAAACTTCTGCTCGCTCTCATGGTCTTTGTTTATCAGCCTGCAGCTAAGACTCTAGTTATAGTTCCTGTGGCTACAGCTCCCAGAGCTTACAGCTGTGGTGTACTCGTATCAAATCTTCCATATGCACTTGTGGCCAGGAATAACACATCTGAAAAAAGGGTAACAGGAAGATGTAAAATAACATTTTAATAATTATTGCTAGAAGGCTGCTAATTCCAGAAAATCCATCCTTATTGCATAGTCGTTTTAATATAGGAGAGAAATTCTTTTCAAATTACAGCAAAGTGGAGGAAGCTCTTTCCTACAGCATCTCAGAGCCCTTGATTTTTGTTATTTCCTCTGGAACCATTGCCTTCCAAAATATATAGAACTCTGCCTTTCTGTTGCTACTTGTATGTCTGTCCAATTGCATTTGCCAAACCTGCTTAATCCCCTCAGAGACAACTAATGATATATTATGTATCAGATCGGTTGTTAACATTGAGAGTTAAAGCATTGTAAACAGAGTTTGGAAAAATCTTGCTAAAGGTCTCCTGAGTGATGACACCATTTGTATAAAATATATGAAAGTAGAGATAAAGAGAATATCAATTAATAACTTCATTTTTCATTGTCATGAAGAAAATTGAATCTGGTTAAGTACTTCCATTCTGAAAAGGAGTTGGAGAAAATATGCCCATATGAGGAATAGAAATCACAAAGTGATGGTAACATGTTGCTTTAAAATTATCTCATAGCTAAGTCAGAAATAATAACACATATTCCCTGTTCGGTATTCATATGGAAGCAATTTAGAGAAAATGGTGTAAAAGCACTCAGGCTGAAGGTGTGTTCCTCTAACCATAGCAATCAGGCCAGGAAAGGACAGAACTGGACATTGGAAAATGAAAATCAGATCCCAAATGGTGCAGCTCAAAGTGCTACAGCTGTGCGAGCCACACCTGGAGCCCAGGTCTTGTGAACCCAGTGGCCCCCACACTAAACTGTCTCCATGACTTCCCTGGCAGAAGAGGCCAAAATAAAGGACTTGCTCTAAGTCCCCTGAACAATGAAGCATGATTTCGTGAATCATTGCATTTTCTGCAGGGTTACTGATCTCAACTGGTTTCCTTTTCTACATCCCAGATAGAAAATATACACACGTATAATCTTTTCACTTCTTGAAGAACACATCCTCAGATGACGATGTTGGATCCTCAGGGGTGCCTCAGGGAATTTTGAGCTCCCATGTTTATTCAATTATATACTCTTCCTATCCACACTCCCAGCCTCCAATTCCTGGAAATGCTTAATAAATCTTATCCATTGGGGCTTAGTCTGGAGTGTTTCTTCAGAGGTCCCATTGGGTTTAAATAAAGAACCAACTCCCCTCATCCAGGCCAGGAAAGTTTTTCCACTTGCTGCTCAGCAATGGGTCATCAGGCCTACAATCCTTTACTCATTTTCTCGTATTGAAAAATAATCAATTAACGGCAATTTACTGTGCTCTAGCTAATGCAATGCCCCAGTAAAGCACAAGTGCTACAGAAAATTCAAAGATATAAAA